CGGGGCAGGGATCTTTTGGCGGGTGGGCTCGACCCCCCAGATCTCGCGGGCGTACTGGGCAATGGTGCGGTCGCTCGAGAACTTTCCGGACGTCCCGATGTTCTGGATCACCTTCTTCGTCCACTCCTTGGTGTTCTGCGGAAGGCAAGCAACAGAGCAGTTGAGAGAAGGAAGGAAACCCGTTTTCCTCTTCCAGGGCAACCGATGCTGCTGGTTTCAAGGGGAAATGCCCCTTTGCACAAGCCGTTTGCACAAACGCCACTGCTGCATTTTGGCTCTTCCTCCTGGGGTGCGTTCACACCCCTCCCTCGATCAGGCAGCTGCTTTCCCACGAGGCACAAAGCTTAGTTAGGGCTAATCGGGGTGAGTCGTTTTGTGACTCGGGTTGGGTCAAATCCAGCCTGTGTCTGGTTTTATGCACTGAGCAAAACCGGAAAATAAGTTAAGGAAAGACCCAAGTGATCCATTGGCTTAACATTTTATTGAAAATCATGAACCCTTGATTGTGCTGGGTAAATGGAGTCACTGTAAGTTAGTAGAAACAACAGTGACCTGATCTACATCATACATTCTTGCCTATATCTGATGATGATGATGATGATGATGATGATGATGATACAGGTAGTCCTTGCTTAACAACCACTCGTTTAATGGTTCAAAGTTACGACAGTCTCGGAAAAAGTGCCTTACAACCTGTGCTCACACTTACGACCATTGAAAACTGTCACACTCCTTGCGGTCACGTGATTGGAATTTGCGACCTTTTTGACGATGGTCGTTAAGCAAATCACATGGCCGTTAAGTGAATTCTGGGAAAAAAGTCCATTGGGAAAGCTGGATTCACTTAACAACCATGTGATTTGCTTAATGACTGTCATAAAAATGGTCATAAAGTCAGGTCCAGTCATGTGGTGACTCACGTAATGACCACCCTGCTTAATGACCAATTTGCCAGTCCCTATTGTAGCCATTAAGCAAGGACTACCTGTAAAAAATATAGCTGCCCAGTCTGGTGGACTCTGGGCAGCTTACACAATATAATGGGAATTAAAACAATTAAAAACATAAATTGAAATCATAGGGCCTGCAATTTGAATCATATTCATGTATTCCTCCAGGCTTTTACGCTGTTTCAGTCCTTCCGGCTCACAAGGAAAGATTTGTTCTCCTTCCTGCCTCTGAAACCCTCAGGGTCCAGCAGAAGGAGCGATTCTGAGGCCAAACAGCCAGGCCACCAAACCAGGTCAGTTGCAAAGCAAGCAACTCTTTGAAACCAGGGCTTTTGTTACAATATAGAGGCTATCTAAGTCTTCTAAAATAAATAAATTAAGCGTTAACCATAAGAATAACCTTGGGGAATCTTGGGGTCGCTCATGTTTTGCAAACTGGCCTTTCTGAGACCAAATTAATAGTCTTATTTTATTTTTTATATATTTATACAAATATATATGAATGTAATATGTAATGTGCACACACACATTATATATATTGGTAATACAGAATGTATACACACATACATGTATGTGTGTGTATGTATATATAATATATGTAATATATATATATGTAAACATATGTAAATCTCACATACATGACTCTGGGCAGCTCACAGAGTTAAAACACAAAAAATATACAAAAAATAACTGATGTCATACAACAAAACCCATTAAAACGCATTACAAACCATCAAAACTATTAAAGCCAGAAAACATCCTGACTGGCGAGGGTGCAGTCCAACTCACTATAGCCCAAAGCACTTAAGTCAGTTTGCACTCGCGGTCTCTTTAGAAATGGGTCTTGTGGTTTTAAAGAAAAGGTTAAGCTATGGATAAAAGACTGAAGAACAGGAAGATGCTGGGAAGAAGACTTTTTTTTTGCGTTTTGGCGTCCATACCCAAGGAAGGGGCTTTGGAAACCCAGCCCTCATCTCAACAGAAAAATGCCTCCCTCTACCACCTAAGCTTCTTTTTTAAAAACCCGTTCAATCGTGCCCGATTCTCAGAGACTGCCTGGCCAAGTCTCTGCAGTTTTCTCGGCAAGGTTTTTGGACGCGGCTGGCCCTGGCCTCCTCCTTCCCACGGCTGAGAGAGGGACTGGCCCAAGGCTGCCCAGCTGGCTTCGTGCCCAAGGCAGGACTCGAACTCTGGGCCTCCCGGTTTCTAGCCTGGTGCCTTCACCTCGACACCAAACCGGCTCTCACCACCCTTAGCTAGATGTGGGGTCTTGCGAATTCTAAGATCCCTGGATGAACAGCAGGCTAGCTGGGGGCAATACTACTGCAATCCACCGAGAACCGGGCAAACATCTGGCTCCCTCGGGAGCTAACTCACCTTGTAAAGGGCGCTGACCTTTTCTTGACATTTAATGTAAGCTTCATAGTCGGCAAAAACTTTAAACCTGCGGCGAGAAAAAGGGTGGTTACTGGGGAGCCCGCTTTGCTCATTAAGATCCTGGGCACAGGAGTGAGAAGGTGCTCTTGAGGTCATCCAATCCAGCCCCTTGCTAAGCCACCCTGACTGATGGGTGCCTGGCCTCTAGCTCACTGGTTCCACTGCCCATCTGCTCTTCCTGTGGTCGCTGTTCTTTCTACTGCCCGTGTGAATCTGCATTTGAGGAATTTCAGCCCGTCGTTCGGTCTCCTGGATGGAAGCAGACGGAAGACGCCTTTCCGTGTTGCATCCTTCCGGGGGTCAACACCCCCAGCTCAGCCATCGTTCCACAGACAACTGAGGTTCTGGCCTGCTGATCACCCTTGCTGCCTGTCTTTAAAGGGTGGTGCCCCAAACTCTAGACAGACTGGTGTACACATTTGGGGAAACCTGGGGTGACACTACTCTGAATCACCCTCAAGCCGAGGGATCCTCTGAGAGGTTCATTCAGGCTCTGAAAAGCATATGGGACACGGTTTTCAAACAGAGGCCGACAGCCCCCTCTCAGAAGGGGTAGTGAACTGTGCAGGGGGTCAGACTCGATGACCTCTTAGGTCCCTTCCAGCTCTATCATTCTAAGAAGAATGCCCCAGATGAGCTCAGACAATGGGATGGATGGCTCCCTGGTACTATGGAGAAGTTCCCCCCAACAGCCACAGGATTAAGCATTTTCAGTTCCTCTGTGGGAGAATCCAAGGAGGGGTGTTGGAGGTGATGATGGAAAGATGGATTAAGAGGGTCCCCAGGGCCCAAGAGGCTGACTGACACTGCGTTCGCATGAGGAGTGCACACTGAAACGGTACAGAAAGAGACACGGGCCCACGGTCAGCGGCAGCTCCTAGATCGACTTGGCAGAGCAGGCGTTTGTCAGAAACCGAACAGCTGAAGACCCACCCAGTCCCAAGGGTATCTTCACAGCAGAAATCAGATCTAGAAACATGCTTCGATATATTTAAACAAGTGTTTACCAGTGAGCCTGTCAGGATGGTGTTAATAGGGCATAAAACTGACATCTGAGATGCAAAAACAATAAAGTGGAAGCCAGAAAGTGCTAGAGGTTAAAGTAAAATAAAATGGGCCAATGGCTGCCTGTGATTTGAGAATGGTTGAATAAGCCTAAAATTGCATTTGCCTTTTTTGCAGCCACATCACGGTGCTGGCTCAATGTTTGCAAGGTGCAGATGCCTCTCCTGGCAACCCCATCCTGCAGGTTTAAGAGTAAAGGATGCTGGGAACTATAGTTCGCAATACCCGTAGTTACCCATCCTTGATTAATAGGGATATCTGTTACTACCTTTGCCACAAAGCTATATAGTATTATAAATTGGAGTGGGGGAATCAATTAATATGTCCAAACCTGATTTTTGCCAGACTCACTTGGATTTCAAGGGTTAAAAAGAAAAAACAGTGTGATCACATCCTGGATTCTGGAAGTGATTTTACTGCCTGCTTTAAAGCTTAATCGTTTTAAAACAAAATTGCTTCAGAATCTGGATGCCACCAGTAAAATCTTGCCCGCCAGCAGGCATAAAAAGTTATTGATAGACATAAAGATGGAGGGCTTCCAAGAGGGATCACAATTTTACACCCACTGGTTACTCCATTCCCCCAACATTTGGAAAATAGATTCCCAGCAACATTTAAGAAAAGGGAGAAAACATCCTGTGATTTTAAAAGTTAGGATTCTCAAGCTTCACTTTAAGCTGCCCCCTGCTGGACACCCAGCCCCACAGCAGAAGACAGAGGTGAGTGAAATACCCCCAAACAGATGCAGACCTACATTTTAAAGCCGTGTTTCCCCACCTCGGAAACTTTGAGATGGGTGGACTTCAACTCCCAGAATGCCCCAGCCGACATGCTGTCTGGGGCACTCTGGGAGTTGATGTCCACAAATGCTGGCTGGCGCATTCTGGGAGTTGAAGTCCACCTATCTCAAAGTTACCAAGTTGGGAAACTTAAAGGAATAGGAGAAAATGAACATGCATGGATTCCCTCTCACCGGTCATGGTACATAAGCATGTTAACAATATCCTTAAAGAGATCCGGCTGCTTGGGTGAGAAGAAGCCGCTGCTCAGCTGATCAATGGCTTGCTTCAGTTCAGGGATGTGGTCGTAATAATCCTTGGCGCAGTAGCTGCAGGAAAAAAAAGGGTTGGTTTAGCCCAAATTGATTGCCCTGTGCTCTTGGGCAGCCTTAGGCGTGCTGCCCCTTCTGAGCCTCCTCGGTTCTTCTCTCCCTGCACACATTCCAGTGGAGGGAGGAAAGAACAGGTCTATTTTACATTTGGAAAAAAACAGTCCAATCCACTTTCCCCCCAGTGCTTCTTAATGTTTGGGATTGCAGCTCCCATCATCCTCTAACAGGCACAGCTGCTGGGAATGATGGGAGCTGCAATACATCACCTCTGCTGGGGAGACCTGGATTCAGTTGCATTTTTGCACAACTACCCTCTGAAGTTTATTAGGACAAAGGGCTGTGTGTTCTTGAAACTGATTCCCCTTTGAAGGGCAGCCGGGAGTGAACGTTAAATAAATGGTGCTTGGCCATTCCTAGTGTGCTGGGCATGTTTTAAAGCATTTCCTGGACTTCTTCTGTCATCCGCACAATAACCCTGCAGTGTAGGCCACCGCTGTTTTCAGAACAGAAGAGGGGGAGGGATGTGCATTAAAAAGCCAGTTGGGTGAACATTTGGGGAACAGACCACTGGACTAGATATGGGGATTACTGCTAACATGCCTGAGAATAAGTGTGCTGGCCAATTGACAGCATTAAGAGAAAAAACAGAAGTATACAAAAATCTGTACTCTAGTTTAACGTAGGAAACCAAAAAATGAAACATAGGCTGGAAACTCCACAATGCACAGTACATCCCTTTCCAAGAGCTTTTGTATAAGCCCTTTGAACATCCTGGTCCCCATCTTAGCCTCGCCAACAAGTTTTGTGACTCCAGCCTGCGCCTGCCCTGAGCGGGGACTCCAGCCCCCTCTGGCACGTACCCCTTCTTGTCCATCTCCTCCACGTCCTCCACGCGCATGCCGAAAATGAACAAGTTATCCTCGCCGGCTTCCTCCGCCATCTCCACGTTGGCCCCATCCATGGTGCCGATGGTGAGAGCCCCGTTCAGCATAAACTTCATGTTCCCAGTTCCAGAAGCTTCGGTGCCCGCTGTTGAGATCTGCTCAGAAAGATCAGCCGCGGGAACCACTGCGCGAGAAAAGAAAAGCCCGTCCAGATCAGGCCGGGGGGCCAACCCAGAGCATCCAGAAAGGCCCAACCCTGGACAGGAGAGTGAATGTCCTCTTCTGCTGTCCCTCATCCTTCAGGCCTGGCAGGATTCAGAGGCACAGGTACCACTTTTGAGAGCGGGCACCATTTAGCCAAGCTTGGCTGATCTCAGAAATCTTATCTGAGGTTAGGGCTGGATTGTAAGACTATCCAATCCTTCAGAACCCATACTAGCACAGATGGAGCATGTGCCCACAACTCATTAAAGTAGCTGCATCAAATTCCAGCCATGATTAAGATTGTTCCAGAATTCTAGAGGTGAAGAAAGCTGCTTTAATGAGTCACAAACCATCTCTGCATCCATGCTTCTCTGCATGTTGAATCTAAAGTACTGCACAGCCTACTGGTTAGTACTTGGGTGGGAGGAAAGGATACCACCAGGAAATGCCAGGAACTAAAAGTCATCAATGAAGTCACCAAGAGTCGAACTTGACTTAATGTACTTTTCAAGAGTTAAGTCTCACTGCTAGCCAAGTGCTTGTGAATCTCATTCTTTCCCTTTCAAAGCTACTTAAATTAATGACTTTTACAACATCCTATATGTGCAGTTCGAAGTGGTGGTGGGGTGGTCTGGCTTCAAAACAGGCCAGGACATCTTGAAATGTTCAGAATTTTCTTCTGGAGAAGTGTCAGACCATCCACAATGCAAGGGATGGACAGCAAGTCTGGAGGGAGAGTGGAACACTCCAACACTTGTGAATTCCATATATATCTAATCCAGTGGCGGTGAGTTCCAAAGTTTGACACCATATTGTGTAAAGAAGCATTCCTTGAAAAATCAGATTTAAATGTCCCCCCATTTATCTTAATCCTGGTGTTCAGGGATTCAAAAGAAACGGTTCAAAAGGCAATGAAGGAACTCACGCCAGGAGATCCCAGCCAGGCAGCCCAAGGCGAGCAAGACATACCTTTTTCAGCCAGCGAGACTCGGTAGTTTTCCAAGAAGATCACCTTGAGTCGGTCACCAACAATGGGATCGTGGTTGACGATGTCTCCGATGGATGTAACGAGTTTGATGATCATTTTGGCCATGTGGTAGCCGGGAGCTGCCTGCGGGGATAAGAGGGGGATTTAACCTCCTTTTGAGGACAGCCACTAGCTTGGAGGAAAAGCACCTGCTTTGCCCACAGAGCGTGTGCAAGGAAATGCCTGGCGTCTCCAGGTAACAGGAACAGGGAGCAGGTGATCAGAGCATCCTTTCCAAAACTTATGTTCTACTTCTGGAGCAGAGAATATTGGGTTAGGTATTTCTCAACCTCAACAACTGTTAGATGAGTGGACTTCACCTCCCAGAATTCCCCAGCCAGCATGGCGGCTGGGGAATTCTGGGGGGTGGAGTCCACTCAACTAACAATTGTTGAGGTTGGGAAATACCTAACCCAATATTCTCTGCTCCAGAAGTAGAACATAAGTTTTGGAAAGGATGCTCTGATCACCTGCTCCCTGTTCCTGTTACCTGGAGACGCCAGGCATTTCCTTGCACACGCTCTGTGGGCAAAGCAGGTGCTTTTCCTCCAAGCTAGTGGCTGTCCTCAAAAGGAGGTTA